GAGAAAAAAAATTCCTTACTTTGCCGGCGGGTCCAATTAAGGACCTCTTAGCGTCCTAAAAAAACAAATCGTTTTAATGAATCCTCAGAATTACGTAGCGTTAGATTGGAAATACTACGCCAAAATTTAGACTAAAATAAGGAAATAGAATTCCAATTCTATAGAAAAAAGTTTCAGTTGGAAATTAAAGCAACCCATTGTATATTTGGATATTTTAAACTGAATAAATTTAAATAATAAATTAATTTGTAAGATTTTAGATTGATTTTTTTATATAAATTTGTGTTAGTATGATGCTATTCAAGCTGTTGAAAAAAAAAATAAATAAGAAAATTTTACGACTTTGTTATTGTCAAAACATCATCTAAAATTAAAAAAAAAATTACAAGACTGAATATAACATTTTTGACATAGCTTTTAAAGTTTAAATTTCAGGCGCAATAAATTAAAATAATTTGTAATAGTAAATATGTAGTTAGAAAGATTAAATAAGAATTATTTATCAATACTCTCCTGAACCATGAAAGATGTTAACAACTATATTATTGAAACAATAACACGCATAAATTTCATAGAGAGAATAATAAGAAAATAAACATCTCCTCTTTTTTCATTTTAAGTCTGTTATAATATGATTGTGTATTATTATACATAAGTACAAACTATTGTCATTAACATGTCACATATTTACGTTAAGAAAACTTTGCAATACTTAAAAAATTACTTAAATATTTATGTATGTTTTAAAAAATATATTACTTTAATTTTAATATAGTAACATTTAGTGAAAACCGAATATGGGCTTGCTGCAGCATTTTACTGTTGCTCACTTCTATATGGACGATTTTAACCACTTACCGTTTTTCTAAAAGATACTACGAAATTGCATGATTTTCAACTCAACCATTTAAAACTATTAATAAATTTAAACGAATATAAGTTATGTCTCTAAGCAACGAGAAAAAGGAAAGTATTTTTTATTACCAGAAAAAAAATGTTTCACCATGCAAGTATATTTTATCTACGACTCTATCATAAACTTTAATAAAATCATAAACTTTATCATAAGAACCATGGGGGATGACAGAAACTGAGTTTTTCCAAAAAGTTTGGTCCAAGAGTATTCCTAGGTTTTTAGTGGTCGTACAGAATTTGTTGAGTTTATTATTTAGGAAGAGGTTTGGAATATTTGGAACAGATATACTTCAGTAAATATTTATGTTTTTTTTTGCAAATACTTTTAATATCGAGAATTTATCGTAATTCGGAATAATTTTACCAAGGTTATACCCAAAAAAAAAGGTTCTTTAGGTATAATTATAATTTATACAATAATACTACTAATGACAAATATATGCAAAACCTTGGCTGGGACTTAATGAGGTAACATAACGTAGCTAGAATATCTTCAGAACATTAGGTAAAGTAATGTTAACACCAAAAAAAATTTCTTTAAATTGTCTCAATTTAAATCAGCTTGATCCTTGGAAACACGTGATACAGTCTGTAAAACAAAAGTAAACTAACGTAATATCCGTCTATATCCTCCTTATTAATTTTTTAAAGGATGTTTATGTAAATAAAAATGAAATTAGTTTTCTCATCGTCCCAGTGGCGGATCCAGGATTTAATTTTTTGGGAGAGGGAATGAACGAAAAATAAACGAAAATGAACCAAAAGCCGAGAAAAAGTTGGGCAAAAAAAAAAAAAAAAAGAAAACATAAGGTTCAAAGTGGACACCGTTTGTATACTTTTGAAGCTACCGAAACTGGGCCTCTTGAAGTATATCTTTTAAATCTGTTCCAAATATTCCAAACCTCTTCCTAAATAATAAACTCAACAAATTCTGTACGACCACTAAAAACCTAGGAATACTCTTGGAACAAACTTTTTGGAAAAACCCAGTTTCTGTCATCCCCCATGGTTCTTTTTTACCTCAAAGCCACTAAATTACCTCTATCTCCTTTTTTTCTGTCTTAGGCTTTCTGATTATTTCTGTACCCTTGTCTATGGCCTTCCTACAGTAGTATTTCCAGGTATACTTCTAAAAGTAACCAATCTTGCCGTCCTTCAAACATTACTGATCTCTTTTATTTCATATCTTTGTTCATTTCCAGCAATACTCTTTCTCGATCTTCAGATTTATATCTAACGGCCACCGAAGCGTTTCTTGCGGCAGATCTTATATTAACCAATTCTCGTCCTTTTCCATTACGATCCTTCTTTCACACCTTGTTCCGATACCCTCTTCACCTTTATATCCCATCAGTTTCTATCCATCCATTTCCCAAAGAATAGTAAGTAGATGTGATGTAGAATTAAAACAGGTAGGTATTTAAATAGGTAGAAAGTTTAATTTAATGTTTGTGTTTTTTTTACACATACAGTTCAAAATATATCTGCCCCGGATGTAATGGGGCACCGTGTCCATTTGTTTAATAAATAATTAATCAAACTTTAAGTTAAACTTAATTTAAATTAATTAAACTAAAAATAAATTTTAAATGTTCAAAGTTATGGAAAATTGGATCCTTTGAATAAATACAAAAATGTGACATGGCGTCCACTACCTCCGAAGTACAGATATTATTTCCATATTGCTAAAGTTATGCAGACTTTGGTTCATGTGCCTACGTGTTATTCATTATTATAGTCAATCTTAATCTCATAAATAAATTATTATATCTTTGTTCGTTTTTATTACAATTTTATGTTTAATTTCATATTTAACAAATGGTACAATTTATCACTATTTTATCCTATTTAGGTTTCAAGTTATTTCTTAATTTTGCTTTTATTCTGAGCCATTTCTTTTCCTGTAGTATTTTTCTAGATGAACTTGTCTCGTAATAAATTAAGACTTTATTTAGTTTTATCAGTAATATACCGTAGGAGAGCAACCTGAAAGATACTTTAAACAACCTGCATTAAAAGTGTATCTAAGATTAAAAAAAATTATAAAAATTCTTTGAATTCGCTAATAAAAATAAGAAGTATCATTATCATAGAAGATCCTGCAGCACTAGGAATTTCAGGATTTAATTTTGAGAGAGCTTCAGCCCGTAAGCTTTAGATATATCTTTATATATATTATATTATATTTCATAGGCACATTCCTTTATCAAATCATTAAAGATCATCGTCCTTCTTATGCCTACAACCTTCTCCAATTTAAGTCCTCAATCTATTCCCTCACCACAAGATCTCGACCTTCTGACCTATACATCCCTTCTTATAGATCTGTCTCATTCCAAAACTCCTTTATAGCCCGCTCTGTCAACTTTTGGAATTCCCTCCCGATCAAAATTCGGCATGCCCCCTCTCTATCCACATTCAAAAACCTCCTATTCCTGTTCCAAAAACAGTCAGATACCAACTAACTACTAACACTATATAAGTATTGTGTAGCAATCATATAATCATACGATAATCCTTTGTAAGATATAGCATATGTATTTCCTACATTCGAAGGAATTTCAATACTTTTTTTATTCAATTATAACTAACTTTTTTTATATATATACAAGTAAAGTATTTTTATGAAATTAACTTATTCTATCTGTTTTTCGTTCTTCATTTCTCATTGTGTATGTTTATGTTTTTCAACCCATAGATATAGTTTTGTTCATAGACTTAAGTGATTTGTTCATAGTTTTAAATGTTTTGTACATAGTTTTATCTGTATTGTCAAAAGCTTGTTCACCTAAAGTTTTCTTTACTTTTTAGTTTATTTTATCCCCCATACCAGACTGAAACGACTAGAAACCGCCCGACGTTTTCGACTACTGCAGCACTTACTAGACAAACGCTCTAAGCTTTCAATCAATTACAAACGACTCCTATATATGACAATAATAAGACCTATTTGGACTTACGGAATTGAGCTTTGGGGCTCCTTACTTTGTCACAAATAAAATCATCCATAAAGACCTTAATGTTCCATATGTTTCCGATTTGGTCCAATCCAGATACCTATCCTTCCATAACAAACTGCAGAACCATCCGGATCCTCTCGTTTAAAACCTTGCTTCCTCCTGATAACCCTCCGAGGTGTCTGAAAAGAAGATGGCCTCGGGATCTTCTAATATAGAACTTTAATTTGAGTTCTACCAAGTCACATTTACTTATTGTATTTTCTATGTAATACATAATGTAAATTTCATTAAAATAATTTAAAAAAAATAATAAAGTTTATTTTATCAATTTTATTTATTGTTTCAAATTCTCAGGCCAGTAGTATTCTATTATTTTGTGCAATTTTGTTATTCTAAAGGGACTTAGTCCCAGAATAAAGGTTTTTCTATCTATCTATCTATCTATATCTATATAAATAAGGATAATTACTTTGAAAAAAAAAAGAAATGGTGTTAAAGTAATTCTTGAAGTCCTATTAAATTTATTATTTAATAATTTATTACTATTTTTTTGATAAGACATCGTTATATTTTACCATTTTAGAGGGAAGACGTTCCTCCCCCCTCCTCCGTAGATCCGCCTGTGCAGTGGCAGTATGTTTACTTCTCAGTGCAGTGATTAGTTTCCCGCCATTTGATTAGTATGCATTCGTACATCACAATTACGACTGTTCCATTGTCGGTCGAGTTATTTATCGAAGCATTGTTGACCTTATGATTGATCTAATAGATACATCAATAAATTAACCGCTTCGTTTGTCGTACATCCATCCCGGTGCCATTGAGTGGGGATTCGGTGAATCAGCGGCGGATATCGGTAGAAGGTTGGCAGGCCTGTGCGGCGAGTGGAGGGGGAGATCAGCTGACAGTCTCAGCGCAAAGAATAGATATTGCCGCATGACGTAATTTTAGCTCTGGAATAAGAATAGTTTGGAGAGTTCTCCATCTCGCAGCGGTTGTTCTGCTCTTGCGTTCGGCCCTAGCTGACTCCGACAGCTTTGCGCCGTTCCCTTATTGATCTGTGCTTGCGCCTTCCCCGCGCTCTCCGGCCTCTGTCGCTCAGTCCTACCGGAACCACCCATCATCATGGCTGCCCCGGCGGCCTGCACGCGATTCTCTGACAACTACGACCTCAAGGAAGAATTGGGAAAGTGAGTAGTCTCAAGTTTTTTTATTATTATAGTTTAGTATATACTTTTAAGTATAAGCTCAGTTATGTCGCCTGATTACTGTACCAGAGTGCAACCGACCTTTGAGCCCCATCACCCCGCCTTAAGTATACCACTCCTCAGCTGTCGAGAGGTTCGTCTTCCACCAGAGGCGAAGAGAAGTTGGAGAAAGCGAAAGGGGATCATAGGTCGGTGCGGAGCTGCTCGGAGCCCCAGGGGTGGGGGTAGATCAATACCTCGGGTTGGGTTCTCTCTATTGTCTATCTCTTATCTATCCCAGGCCCATACATTTATTTATCTATTTGTGTATCCGACATGCTCTGGCGTCCAGTGCGTATCTCCACCTCCTACTTGAAACCGTCGTTATATCCCCAATACCATACCACAAATCCTATACTGTACATCCAACCGGTGTATTTATCTCAGATCTTATTATCTTACTTCTTCAATAAAAATTAAAATGTTCTCATATTGAAATATACAAAAATATACAGTACGAAAATGCACGATGTTATTAATAATGGCTTCGAGTACATGTCAATTCCATAATCAAAACCAGGATTTAAAAAGAATTTTTTATTTTTAATCTGTTCCATTAAGACAGGAATCATTATTTTAACTTTTTTTTCAGTTGTTCAGAATCAAAACTTCTCCTTTCACATTTGCAAGTTAAAATCTTATGTTCTTATATTATCTTATATTTAAAAAGTTCTCTTGATTTCTCCTAGAAAAAATGTAAAAAAAATTAATTCTTAGCTACTCAAACAAATGAACCATATTAGAATCAAATAATTTACTTATGATAAATTATAATTATAATCTTGGTTCAGCAACTGTTTATATATCCTTTTTCGTTTATCATAAACCTAAAAGTTCGTTAAAAAAACTGTAAAAATAGAACTTTTTAAAAACTTCTATAAAAGTCTCAAACCCTGTTTTTAACCAGTGTATTTATATGAAATCATTGAAATTTTACTTCTCTCTCAAAAAAAAAATTCATATTCAAGTACTCCATACTGAAATAAACGATATTAAAGATAATTTGGTTCACATTTCAATTTCTTTATTATTTTTTTTTTAATCGTCATAGTATTAAATTAGCTTCTAACTTTAATATCTGTTAGTTTAAGTTAAGAGATTGATTTTTTTTTTTTTTATACCACATATGAATATTTATTACGACGAATTCTTCACCAAAAAATGGAGTATTGGTGATTTGAAATTACTGGTTCACAATCACGTCTACATTAACTAAGTTTTATTCTGTTTACTTCATATATTTTTGAAGATATGAATTATGTATATCAAGGTTTAAAATGGAATTTTAGTCTTCATCAAAGCCTTCTACAATCACTTCTAAATTAATTAAAGTTAATTATGTCTTATATATAAGTATTAGAAATATTTTATAAATAGAATTATTAAGTTTGAAGACCTCATTTTGCCTTACCTAAAAACGAAAATATTCTTTATAAATTAAAAAAAAAAAAAGAGTTAAAAAATGCAGTTGAAAATCGTATATGTTATATATTTTTCCTAATTCAATAGCAAGGTGGCATTAAATTTATATACTCATTTAAATTCATAAATTATGCGATTCAACGAAATTTGAAATTAAATAGCTCAGTTATTTAAAATTAAAAAAATAGACTTTTTACACTGTATTGTGTACTATAATTAATGTTTAATAATGGTAAATAAATTACTAATAAGAAAATAGTTGTTTTGAATCCAAAGTAACATCTTGTTTAGTTGATTTCCTTCGAAATATAGAGAAGATGTCTGATTTTATTAATTTTAAAAATATCATTTTAATGAAATTGATAACGATTTTTTTCGTAATTTAAATTTGAAATCACGATTTGAATTTATTCTGTTTTCTTGAGAAACATAAATAAAATTGAGCTCAAATTATGCGCAAGAATTCGTGTATGACTATTCATGGACGTGAAACATATTAAAGAGCCGTAAATATACACCCGAATCGTCGTTTTCTATATTGACAGTATTTACTCGCGTTGCCGTGTTTCGAATGTAAAAAAGAAAAAAATTCTAAATTTCTCAAACCTCGCACAGATTGACTATAAAAGGTGCTGAAACGCGATCCCGATCTAGCAGGACATTTTGTTAGATTTGAATAATTTTTTTTTCATAAGAATATATATATCAATTTTTTTTTATGGAACCTCAGAACTCAGAGAAAGACAGCTGGTGCTCCGGGCCGGATAAAGGTGTAAATATTTATCCAAGGAAGCAGACACAGTAACTTTAGACCTTTTTAGACGTCTATAAATATGCCGCGAGGCCAGCTCGGGTCAAGTCGGATTCAATCCGTTGTTTACTCATTCTCTTCTGCCACTGTGTCACTAGAGCTTTGGAGAACGAGAGGAGAGGGGGTAAATGGTGCACACACCTCCCTAATATTCGAAAGCATTATTGTTAATAAGGTGTAGTATATATGTTCTAAATTTTCTAAAGGAAGAGTCCAGATTTTTAACACTAAAAAACAAATGGTTCTATTTTTCTAAATAAAAAAAAATAAAAAATAGGAATTTATTTTCGTGTTCAAATTACAATCCGAACATTTGAAAATTTCAAGATAAGCAGATGAGCTTTAGTGAATTTGGAAAATTGCCTTTTAGGGATGAGGAAGAATATTAATTTTTCTGATTGAAAAGTCCAGATTATTCAAAAGTAAAAAAATACCTAAATTTTTTTGGAAGGAGTTAAAAAAATGCCATATAACCAACGGTTTTATGAAAAAAGAAGTTCAACAGCTAAACGTCCCCTTTAAGTGGATTTAACAAAGACTTCAACTTGGATTTGGGAGAAATTTTGTCTATTTTACTATTAATCATTTATCTGTTACCTATTATCTAAATCTGAGCATAATTTCAACACCACTCTAATATGAAATTTAATTAATAAAAAATAATTTATTTATAAAACTTTATAAATTTTACGAACATTTTAGAACATTGAGAAAAGTTTTATTTAATTTATATCTTAGTATAGAAAAAAATCATGATATTCATACAAAAACAGAAAAGTCTGATTTATCATACATACCACTTTTATAATAAACCTTTCATTAAATCCAATGAGGGAGTTCTGTACATCTGTCTGGCTAAACATTTATCAAGAGGAATTGGCAATTATGCATTAAATATATATTGTTTGCATCGATACGGTTATTTGATTAGAATGTATTTGAAGGTTTGAAGGAAAAGTGTAGAGAAGGAATAACGAATGGGAATGGGTAAAAATATCCAAGAGGTAACACGAACGACGAAGGATTTGATAAACAAAACAGACATACAAATCGATAGAATCTTGTATTCAAAGAGAGAATCGCAGGGCGTATAGCAACAGGATAAATGATGCAGAGAAGTGTTTTAGCTCTAAGGACTTGAAGATACGAATTGGGGATATTGCCATGGCAAATAAAAATAAGAAGCCTCCTTAGCTTTATAGGTATTTACCAAGAAGAAACATGGAAGCCCGAAGACGAACTAGCAGATAGCCTTCCGAATATCAGGTTGGAGGAGGAAACTCATGATTGAAGTAGAAGAAAATAAGAGAGTATTATATGATCCAATTTATATATAATTATATGATCTTCTATTATATGATCTAAATTATATGATCCAATGGTATCCAAGAAAAGATACCAATTAAAGAGGGCATTGAAACGAGATTTTCTACGGATGGATTTCTTTGGACTTTCCTATGGATGTCCATAGATTTCTACTAATGCGTAGATTATTAAGTAACATTATGTATAGTGAGAAAGAGGACTGAGAAACTAAGGAAGATTTTGGAACCTACTTTTTACACCTACTAGTCTACAATAACAAAATATTTCAACGAATGGTGTACCATAAAAGAAAATAATATTGCATAAAAATATAGTTATATTAAGGGATGAAAACCGTATACACACCACAACCTATGTGGGTGTTTTGTGATATTGCATAAGATATAATGTATATAATGAATTAAAAGAACACCACAACGACATTCCAAATGATTTTAGACAAAATAAAATAAAAGGTATACATTACAAAATCTTTATTACATGTATGTATATAAGAAATTAAAAAAAAAAAAAAGGATAATCGGTTCAGTTATAAATGGTTTTCGAAAACTATCATGACCAAAATGGTGATTGTGAGATCGTACTTGTACCGGCGAATCAATGCGATTTGGAAAAATCAGAATTAATATTTAAATTGACAATTAATTTTAACAATAAACATGCCCACCGAAAATACATCATGACGAAGTCTCAATTATTTTTTTACTATCCTCGCAAAAATAACTCAAAGCAAATACACCAGAACATATATCTTTTTTTTGTGTGTAAAGCTCTTTCATAATAATGTCTCAAGTAACTATAATAGTAAAGTCATATAATGCCTTAAAATAAATAAAAAATGCCTCTTTTTCAAATCTTTGTTATTTTAAAACTCTTCAAATAGAACATTAATCACTAAGGCAAAATTAACGTATATATATATATATATTTGGAGGAACTATAAAAGTATCAATCATGAAGTTCTTGCTGTTTTATCAAAAAGCTGAATAGAATAACGGTCGGACTTGAATCACTGGAAAGGAAAGGACAAATCCTAAAACAAATTATACCGACTTTTAAATAGTTTAAATTTATACATTAATATACTGTTATCGAGAAAATCCACTTACACAATCAAATATGATTTGTGTTAAACTTTTACTTAAATAACCTGATAAATTTCGAAACTCAAATTGTTAAAACTTGATAAATAATATACATGTCTTAAATAAACAAAACGTATTAAAATAAGCTGAAAAAAAATGTTTTTTATTTTTTTTAGCAGTGTCCAGAAAACATCAATGTTGCCGCAACGGACTTGGCCGCTAGGTCCTTCATCAACGAGTTTTATTAATAAAAATCTATAGAAATAAAAAAGTTATTCTTTAATTAAAGGACAGAAAAAAAGGTAACTAAAGGGGAGAATATCGAGGGCATACCACGACGGATGGACATACCATGCATGCCGACTAAACAAGATTTAAAAATTGCCCAAGTTTTTTTCAAAAGCATTCTGTAGTCTTTTTTTTAGTAATGACTTTATCTATAGATTCTCTCTTTTGGAATTGAGCGTTTATATATATAGATATATATATATATTTTTTTTTTTTGCTTAATCATATCTATGATTCTCTCTAAATTTTGTTATAAATTAAATTTTTTTCTTAAATATAAAAAAAAAATGGTCTATAGCGTGGCAACATTATCCAATTTATTTTTCAAATGTGCTCAGCTATTCGTTCAAAAGCTGAATTTACCAAATTGAATAAAACCATTTT